CATTTTGGATTACGCAAAGGCATGTCAGTAACTTATCGCAAAGGCACCTATAAAATCCCATTCCACTTTTGAAGGTATCTGTTAGCATGACCGTCTGGCTCAATAGCAGAACGAGACACATAAGATATAAAAACCCACTAAATCATGCTTGGTGATCAAAAGCAAAGTAGCAAATTATATGCTATCCACATTTACTTCGTTCATATATCTTATAATAATAATCAACAACAAGAAAGAACAAACTCTCCGCAAGCCTGCTCCAATCTCATTCCCATTGTAGTAACAAAATGGAATTCCAAAATATAAATCCCCACCCTCCCTTTGCTATTCTGTCCATACTTCGCCATAAATTGAATGACCAAAGAGATGGTTGCTTCTTTAATACTGTGAGCAGACAAAATAAAGTTGATTTCAAAATTCTGCAGAGCTCAAACCCAATCTCATCATATCAAAGTCCGAAATTGGATTACTGCACAGCCGCACAGGGGGAGCGACAAACGAAGAGGGATGTAGACGACAGGAGGACGAAATTACATGAAAGCCTTTCGAATATGTGGAGAATGTCGCTATGAACCTCCAATCACCGAATTTCAGATCCGGGTTTCCACGCTTCCAAGAGGGATGGTGGAGAGTGAGGGACGATGGAGAGTGAAATTTTTTTCCTTTTGCTTCGACTATGAATGTCTGGATTTGGTGGTGGCAGAGCAGAGCACTTCAAAGGAGACGAAAGGGCGAAGGGAACGACGGATACGTTCCCGAAAATTTGTATTGCTGCCGTGGCCCATGTGTGTATTTTTCTCTATTGTAAACCCAGAATCAAAACAGGAACATCAAGAAAATTTTTGGGTTAGAAAATGAAATACGAAGGAGAAAAGAAAGCGAAAGAGGAATAATTATAAAATAAAAAGTGAAAAAGAAATCATATATTCCGCCGGACTGTAAGAGGTTGAACCGACTTTTTGGTTTGTTAAAATTGGTCTGGGCTTCCAACAACGCAATCAATGCCACATAGAATGCCACATGGCCCAATAGAATAAGGCTGCACCGGTGCCTCACTTTTAAGTGCGGCACCGTAGTATTGGCCATATGCATATATATAATAATGGGCTTATTATGAAGCCCCAAATATTTGAGGTCCTGTACTTTGGATCTGACCAGCAGAGGGCCTGGGCCGGGCCTGTGAAGATGGAAAGGCTATTTATTTAGTTCAGGTACATGGCTGAAACCGGTGCATCTGTTTTATTACATTCCTAGCCAAGTCCGGAGTCATTTGTTTTGTTTCAATATACCATTGTTGGCCACCAAGGTCCTGATGTCCTCGTTCATGGTTTTGGAGCTAATTCTGTAAGCCATTCAGGTTCCAAACGTGCTAAATAATCAAGTCCTAAGATGTGAAAAGTGAAGCCAGGTTCTGATAGAACAAATTTCCAAAAAATTTGGTCCATCTCTCGGGTCTAACTGAGGATTACTGAATTATGCATGAAGGCATGCTAAATCGTTAACCGGGAAAAAAGCAAGATTAAAGTGCAGCTCAGTGACTATTAATTGGTATAGGGGAAAGAGCAACTAAGAGGTCTTTTGGAAGTTGCTATAGTTTTGTTGAGATTGTCATTATGCATGTATTGTTTACAATGCATCGTTTTTTTGTTTTTTTAGCAGAAACAATACATGGATTGTTTATGTGATGTGACATAAACTATCACTCATTTTGAGTGATTGTTATATCTCAACTTTTAGTTGTGATTGTTGAGATAGTTGAGTTGAGATTGTTTTGTCTCAGCTTTTAGCTTATGCGACATACACAATTACACATACCAAACGTTGTATTCTACAATGCATCAAATTCGACAATACATGCATAATATTATACATGCATTCTCAACAATACATATATTTAACAATCGCAACTTCCAAACGACCCCTAAAGATGCTTTCTTTGCTCAAAAGAAAAGGGGTTCAATTCAAGAGAAGAGCGTACAAAACATTTGATTGAAGAAAACAATGTGCTTGCATGTGCTTGCATTGAGTGTCATCCTCAATCACTGTCTCAATACAAGCTACCACCTCAGCGAAATAGAAGAAGAATGACAAAAATAAATGTATAACCTTACTTTGTAACTAACAATGAAGAAGCTAATTAATCACTATGCTGCAAGTCTGTCTGCAAATATATGTAACAAACGTGCATGTCATCTTGTACCTAAGTCATGACACAGTAATTCATTCACAAAAGCAGTTATATGCTTCAAGCAATGCTAACTCGCTAAAACACAACATCAAACTATGACCAAGTATAATCGCAGAGTGGAAATGCAATATAGTGGGTTTAGGTTCTAAATGTCCATCCGAGGCCTAGATTTACTGTCTACTCCATGAATTTCTATTATTTAGCGGTTGAAATATAGTGAGGTATTCAAAAGCAAATTAAACAGAAAGCATGAAATGTTCTGGTTTCAAGTATGCAAAAGGTCATCCAGATATGAGTCCCCCTAGTCTGCAGCTAGTTCAGGTTATAATTTCCCATTTCGTTTTGATTGATAGATACAATGCGAAAAGTTCTTGACAAGTCTGGAATCTCGACTAAAGTAATCCAAACCTTCTCAGTTTCGAATACCCGGCGGGCGACTAACCTCCGCCGGCGTAGACTAACCGAGGCAATAACACACCAAACTTCCACTATTGGTTTCAATTCTAGTACAGAGCATCAAATCAATTTCTCGACTAAAGAAATCGATCCACTACTTCCAATTAAGGTTGCTCTATGTACCTATGCAGAGACTATAGTTCTAGGTTAAAGTATGAATCACAAAAGTTTGATCAAGACTCATGCAATTTTGATTAATGCCCCAATTGAATATATCGAATCAAGCATTCACAAACGGGTTCATACTGATAAGAATAATACATAATTATTTGATTACTTCTGTTATTAATCTCAGTTAGTGGGCTTTTATAGTTGTTTAGTCGTTCACACTTCCTAGCTACGTGTGGTTGTATTCTGGATATTTAATCCCCAATCCTACTTAATACAAATCACTACTTCCATCCTCCATATGGTATCAGAGCTATAGCTCGATCCCTTAACCTACAAACCTAAATCACCACACGTCTCTTTTCTTCTTCTTTCGCAGAACTTCAACTCCAATCTTTTCTCTTTCTTTTCTTCTTCTTCCTCCTCTGTCATCATGTCTGGAGAAATTGTGATCCCTGAAAATATTTTATCCCCTAAACGTCGGCGGAAATTGAGAATTCTAATTTCTTTGAATTCAAAATAAAAAAAATAATGTTATTCATAAAAATATAAGAATTTTATCAATCTCACTGATGAGACCTCCATCATCACCCTCAATCCAGCTTATCAACTTCCCACCAAACTCACCGGTGATAATTTTCCACAATGGCGCGCCCAGCTGCAAACACTTCTTCGAGGGCTTGATCTGCTCAAATTCCTTGATGGTACACATCCCATGCCGGCAGCCACTGCTGATGCACTTGTTCGTCGACGTTGGTACCGCCACCAACTACCAAAGCTTTTTTTTTATAGGTTTCTCTTTTTGTGATTAAGGTACTACTTAAGGGATTTGAACTTGGGACCTTCAGGTTCTAAACTAGTGGTATTACCACTAGACCAAACTCTTGTTCATTCATAAAGGAGAATTTACATAGTACAACTACCAGAGCTTTTCTCGGAAGCAACTATATGGAGTTTCTAGCCACAAATCATACTAGAGTCACTGCACATGGAGTTGCTAGCAGGCAAAATAAATAGTTGGACCAATATTTGTAGTTCATCTTATTTTCCAAAAAAATCTCTTAGTTAAATTCAGTTGGTTGTTGTTTTAATAATGCATTTTGTTTATGTTGAATTTTCAATTTTAAGTTAGCTAACCATTGGACATCTAAATGTTGATTCCTCCCAAACATAGTTGATAGGATTAGGGATGCCAATGGAACTTGGATTTGTGGGTACCCAACCTGACTAGACCCGGTTAATGCGAGTAAAATTTAGTGTTGATGTGTGTGAGTTTTAGCCATTTTGGAATTAATTGTTTGGGTTGGGCATGCGTTTTACCAATATCAAACCACTTTCCGCCCAACCAGCATCTATAAAGTGAAATGACGTTTTGTACCTAACTCTAATGATTTGGACAATTTATAAATGCAATTAGTTTTATGTCAATTTAGTTCTAATAAAATGGATATTATTAGTCTTTATGACAATAAAGTTGTAGACAAATTTTCAAAAATAGAAGGATGTGAGTGCTCAACTGAATTATTTGCAGTTATGTTCATCAATCTGTGGGTACTCAATACTCATGCACCTACGGGTACCCGCTGGGTTGGGTTGGACTTTCTCCTCCAAATTCCAATGAGTATTGGGTATTTATAGTGGGTGCATCCACTGGATTAGGTTTGAGTTTTGAGAAACTTGATCCATTATCATCAGGTTGACAGTTATGCCCAAAATTATGAGTATTTACTTTCTCAATCCGGTTGGGTACGATATGAAACTCATATATAACATAAATTCGCAGAATTTGATGGATTCATACTTATATCTATTTGAGTTTGGTTTTTATCCATACTCATTTTTACAACTATTGTCCTTTCAAGCATTATAGATATCATTAAGGATTCTTGGTCAAACTATATTCAGCCAACATGCCGGGTTATAAGCTAGTAGACTAAAATAGAGAGAAGTTCTTAATCCCTAAATCGTGTCACCCTCAAACAAACGCCCCATTTCCCGCAAAAATCTGAAATTTCTTCCTCTGCTCTCTCCCCTCTCTCGCTCTTCCAACTTCAATCTTCCATAAGTTTCTCCCATTACCAAATCCAATTTCTCTCTCGGTGATTTCCGACCTCCCCGAAAAAGAAGTTGAAATTTTTTCTAATCTCTCATCTCCCAATAGCATTTCATTTGTTCATAGCCACTACCTCCCACACTCACAACAATGCCACGCACGACCTGATGCGCCATCACCAACAGCCGTTCGATCATGTCGACCGAGAATGGGGAACCGCCCGCGACGACGACCGTGTCGTCTTCAGCCTCTCTGCCAGTTTTCACCTCGTACAAACTCCGAAAAATCCCTCCCATTCCCCTCCGTCGGCTGCACAGGTCTGACGCCGCCGAATTGACTCTCGATGATTTTACCGATTTCTCCGGAAACATTAATGAAGAAGAAGGGGAAGAGGAGGAAGAAAAAGATCAGGAAGAAGACTATTCGGGATACGAATCGCGAGATCCGAACGAAAAAGCTCCGATAATTCTCCCGTCTTCCCTCGGCTTGAACCATATCCGGACGCGATCCGTTCCGTCTCCTTCTCCTCTTAGGTTTTCGTCCTCCGCCGGCACGTCTCTGAAGGTTCCCAATTCTAAAGACCAAAACGACGATAAAGAGGAGAAACGCCGGGGAGAAGGACGGACCAAGGCGTCTATTAACCATTTGATGCCCCCTGTTGACCCCGGTAACTAACCAGTTATGGAATTTTGAATTCCATTCGTTTTGTTTGGTTATACTGCTCCTCCTGTTAAATTAATGGAAGATTTTTTTGTGGGTATTTTCATTCTGTTAGGAAGAAGGACTTCATGGAGTCAATCGAAATCCTTACGTCATCCATCGCCGCTCAATCTAGCGTTGGAGGTAATTTAGAATGATGCTTTGTGAGTTGAGACTTGAGAATTTGTCTGAATGGGGAACTAGTTGGTGCCCAGCGCCTTGGCCGGAATAGTTCTTTGCCGTCGTTTATCATTTATGAATTGATTAGTTTAGTATAATCCCTCAACTAATAATAGAATATTGTCAAATTTTTAGTTGAGTTACTTATTTCGTTAATTTTCTCATAATTCAGGTAAGATTTTGGTTGAAATTCATCATACTCGGTATCAATTCTAAATTTTGAATGCTTGATTTTTTTTTACACCATTCAATTATTAATCAAAGATTATTTAATCATAAAAGGTTGATGATTGCATATGACTTAATTCAGATTTCTGCGAACTTGATAAATATCACCTATTAAGATGTAACTGTTAAATTCAAACAATTTGTTGAAAGAAAAATTTCAAAATTTGATGCACCTCCCCATCAAATTTTGACACGTTCTAATTATTTAATTATTAATAGTAAGATTTTTTGTGAAAAATATATTAAATTCCCTACTTTCTACTTCGGAATGGGAGATAATGGTGAGTATTCGCTACCACTAATTCTGGCTTCACCGAGCAAGAAATCGCTGGGTAATTATCGCTCTCCAACCAATTATCTTTGACGAAATCGAAACTATGGTTGAGTCATCATTCATCCCCTACCTGTGTGAGTCATTATCTTTATTATCGACAAATTATTTCCCAAAATTGGTTAAGAGGATTTCTAGAAGTGAGAGGTTTTGGGGAAATTGCTCATACTGAGCTTTCCATTGATGCAGAGGTTATATACACTTTACAGAGCAAAACCAAAAAGGAATCTATCTAGCCGTTAACTTTACTCTTTCTATCTACCAATAAGCTTTGTACACGTGTAAAGGCTATACAGTAAAAACGAACAAAACCAAACGGTGCGTTGCGCCTTCATTCTTTGCATCATAACGTCATCGTTTTCCTTTCCCTTTGCTGACCCTGTTCTTCGTTTCATCAGCATACTTTTTTCCACAACAAGGCCAGCAAGCTGCAACTAATTTGTTGATCTCGTGATCAACTGGAGCTTCATCATCGTCATCTTCCACGCTCCTTGTTACCCTCCCACAAGCTGGCAAGTATAGATTATATACTCCCAGCTTGGACAACAACATACCAAATCGATCGATTGACAAGCTTTTTGTAAATATGTCTACCAACTATAATTCTGTAGGAATGTAATGAAGAGTGATCATACCAGACTGAACCCTTTCTCTGATCACATGGCAATCCACCTCTATGTGTTTTGTCATTTCGTGAAAAACAGGATTCCCTGCAATGTGGATTGCAGATTGATTGTCGCAATATACTGGAACTGCTTGATCATGTGAAACTCCAAAATTTGCAAGTAATCTGATTAACCACTGCACCTTACAACTTATGCTAGCTAGTGCCCTGTATTCTGCCTCTGATGATGAACGAGGCACAGTGGATTGTTTCTTGCTTTTCGAACTTAACAAACCATCTCCAAGGAAAGTGCAGTAACCTGTAATTGACTTCCTTGAATCTGGACATATAGCCCAGTCACTGTCACTGTAACCCTTCAGCTGAAGCTTTGCATCCTTAGAATACAGCAACCCTTGACCAGGTGAACCTTTTAAGTATCTCAGCACTCGATGTAAAGCTCTGAGATGTGATGTTGTGGGACTATCTTGATACTGACAGAGCTGTTGAACAGCAAATGTGATGTCAGGTCTTGTGGTGGTGAGATACTGCAATTGCTCCACAAGATGCCTGTACTCACTAATGCCAGTCAATGGTTCACCTCTAGAGGAGGATAAAACTTCCTTGATGAAGATGGGAGTGGAGCAGGTTTGCAATTTTCAAAACCTGACTCAGCCAAGACATCCAAACAGTATTTCCTTTGAGACACTGTGATTCCCTGCTTCCCACGAATTACCTCCAGGCCAAGGAAGTAACTCAGTTCTCCCAGATCTTTCAACATCATCCTAAAATCAGCATGCAACATATTTTTAACTTCTCTGATTGCTTCCAAACTAATGCTCCCTAGCACAATGTCATCAACATAGACTATTAGAACAACTAACTTTTTCAAAACTGTGGCTGTGAATATAGAGTAGTCATAGGGAGATTGTTTGAAACCATGTTTGATCAAAGTTTCTGTTAACTTAGCATACCATTGCCTGCTAGCCTGCTTCAAACCATACAGAGATTTTCTCAATTTATATACCTTCCCTTTGTGTTTCCCACTAGTGTCCAGACCTGGTGGCAACACCATGTAAACTTCCTCAGACAAATCCCCATTAAGGAATGCATTACTCACGTCCATTTGATGTAAATGCCATCCCTTAATTGCAGCTACTGATAATAACATCTTAACTGAAGCCATCTTTGCTACAGGTGAAAAAGTATCACAGTAATCAATCCCATAAACCTGTGTATACCCTTTAGCAACTAATCTGGCTTTGTATCTGTCAATTGTGCCATCAGACTTCAGCTTCAATCTAAAAACCCACTTGCAACCTATAGCATGCTTACCTTCTGGTAAGTCTGTGATTTCCCAGGTTCCATTTTCAAGTAATGCATGTAACTCTTCTTTTACAGCTTCATTCCATTCTGGATGTTCAGAAGCTTCAATGTAAGTTCTTGGTTCAGCATGAGTAGTTAGGGAATTCACAAATCTTTGAAGATTTGGTTGCAAATGTGAATAAGCAACACTTTTCTATGTTGGATATTCCACTTCATAATCAGCATGCCACTCTGGAGGCTTGGAAATTCTGGTGGACTTTCTAAGAGGAATAGGTGGATCTTCATGGGGGAAAGGAGAAGGTGAGAAAGTGAAATGAGATGGAGAATGAGCAGGAGAGGAAATAGGTGAAAAAGGAGGATCAGATGATCCTGGAGATAAGACTTTAACTGGTTCATCAGACTGTGAATGTGAAATGGGGGTTGAGCTCCCCCCTCAGGCTGAGGAACAAAGGAAGTCTCAATATCAGGGGAATTGGAAAAGAGAGGAAATTGAGAAGGAGTAGGGAAAACATGAGGAGTAGTAGGAGGTTGTGATTCAGGATGTTTGTAAGGGAGAATGTGTTCATAGAACACTACATCACGAGAAATAAACACCTGCTTGGTGTTAAGATCAAGGAGTTTAAACCCCTTAATTCCTGCAGGAACACCCAGAAACACACATTGCTTGGCTCGGGGGTCAAACTTAGTTCTAGGTTGTCCTGATGTGGCTGCATAAGCCAAACATCCAAATACTTTTAGACTGACATAATCTAGAGGAAGGTGATGTAGAACCTCAAAAGGAGTCTTGTTGTGGAATAGGAGTGGGAGTCCCATTGATCAAATAGGCTGAATGGAGGATGAAATCACTCCAGTACAAGAGGGGGAGGCCAGATTGAAACTTGACTGCCCTGGCCACATTCAGGAGGTGTTGATGCTTCCTTTCAACCCTCCCATTCTGTTGGGGAGTGTAAACTACACTCATCTGATGAATGATTCCATGTGTTTTATAGAATTCATTCATATGAAACTCCTGGCATTGGTCAGTTCGAATAATTTGCACAGATTTATCAAACTGATTCTTAACCATAGAGCAGAAGGATTGCAAAAGAGGTCTAGCCTCATCTTTGTACTTCATAAGAAAGGTCCACACACATCTAGAGTGATCATCAACAATAGTTAAAAAATAACAAAAGCCATTGTAAGAAACTGTATTCAATGGCCCCCAGATGTCTACATGAATCAAACCAAAGGGAACAAGATTGATAGAATCACTGGAAGGAAATGGGAGCCTTTTCTGTTTGGCTAAGTGACATACATCACAGTGAATATGTTTAGAAGCTATTACGTCTGGAAATTGTTTGCTAATAGCTTGAATTCTAGAAACATGAGGGTGGCCTAATCTGGCATGCCAGAGATCAAAAGGCTGTGACTGGAAATTGTGAGTGGTGGCTGCAAGACACTGGATAGGGGAGTTGGAGCTTGGTGTCTTGGTGAAAAGGTAGAGTCCTCTATCCACTTGGGCTAAACCAATCCTCTTCTGTGCGATAAGGTCCTAAATAACACAGAAAGAGGATTGAAAGGTAAGTGAGACAGAGTTTTGTTTAGTCAGCTTACTGACAGAGATGAGGTTGTAGCTAAACATTGGAACAAAAAGGACTTGTGAAAGAAACAAGCCACCAGGAAGTTGAACAAAGCCTATGTGTGTGGCCTTTACCTGTTCACCAGTTGGCAATGTAACAAAAAATTCATCTACTGTTTTGTACTTAGTATAATACTTGGAACTACAAATGATATGATCTGTAGCTCCAGTATTTAATACCCACAAGGGTTCTCCAGAAGAAGCTATCAAGGATGAGAGTACAGTAGTACCTGAACTTGAAGGCAAATAGGGTGAAATAGGTGGTCGATGGGAAGGCACCACTCTGGTGACTGCATTTGCAGCATGGACAGATGGAGAACTTGGAGGTGATGGAGATGGAGAGGGTGACTTAATCAGCAGCTGTTTGAGCCTTTCCATCTGATCCTGTGTAAAAATGTTCTCCAGTCCAGACTGCCCTTTGCTATCATTGGAACCAGCAGAGCTCTCCATTCCAAGTGAGCTTTCCAATGAACCAGCAAATGCACCTTCTGAAGCTTCCCTTGCCTTCTTGTTCTTTAACTTAAAACAATCCTTGATAAGATGTCCCTCCTTCTTGCAATAGGAACAAACCTTCTTACCATCTTGCTGTTGTTGCCCTTACTCCTATATTGATTGCCACTGGAGACACCAACTGCAAGAGCAAGGGTTTCAACATTTGAACTTCTGTTCATGACCTTCAACTGTCTCTCAAGCTACAAGATCTGCTTGAATACTACATCAATATGAGGTAGAGTGGGCATCATCTAGACCTGTGTCCTTGTTGACTGGTATACAGGGTTTAGTCCTTGGAGGAACTTCAAAATCATTATCCTCATATCTCTTCATTGTTTCATATGGACCAGGATTACAAGGACAAACAGGTATGGGTCTGTATCTCTTATACTCTTCCCACAACACTATGATATCAGTGAAATATTGGCTCACAGACTGATCACCCTGAACACACTTTGCCATTTGACCCTTGAGATCATAAACCCTGATGTTATCTTCTTGACTAAATCGATTTTTCAAGGTATCCCAGACATCCTTTGCTAACCCTAGCCTCATGACACTATTTGCTATGTCATCTGACAAAGAGTTGTAAATCCAGCAACGAATAGTGCCATTGCAACGAGCCCAGGACTGATAGTGAGGATTTGTTACCTGAGGAACTGGAATACGCCCATCGATGAATTGGGTTTTGTTCTTGGTCTCCAAGGCCAGCAACATGACTGCACTCCAGGTGTGATAGTTTCCATCAACGAGCTTGATGGAGATGATGGTGTGTAGCGCACCATCCTGAGGTGGTAAATAATAAGGATTGAGATAAGGATCCTCGTATGAGGTCATTCTCGCTTTGGATTTATCAGATGATTCAGATCTTTGTTCTGTAGTGGGTGAGCTGGTTCCATCCGCCATTGTTGATGCAACCAGAACTCAACGATGAGAGAAGAGATGGAAAGAAAAACGAAAGAGGATGAAAAACGGATCTTAGCGCGATGAGCAGCACTCTGATACTATACGAAGATTTCTAGAAGTGAGAGGTTTTGGGGAAATTGCTCATACTAAGCTTTCCGTGGATGCAGAGGTTACATACACTTTACAGAGCAAAACCAAAAAGGAATCTACCTAGCCATTAACTTTACTCTTTCTGTCTACCAATAAACTTTGTACACGTGTAAAGGCTATACAGTAAAAAACGAACAAAACCAACGGTGCGTTGCGCCTTCATTCTCTGCATCATAACGTCATCGTTTTCCTTTCCCTTTGCTGACCCTGTTCTTCGTTTCATCAGCATACTTTCTTCCACAACAAGGCCAGCAAGCTGCAACTAATTTGTTGATCTGGTGATCAACTGGAGCTTCAATGGTTCCTTATATCGATCCCATCTTCTACTTTGGTTAACATATATGCATAATTTCCCGGTACCAAATAAATGATCATCCAGTCGGCAGCCAATTACCAGCTATTGGCTGTGCAACTCTTAATTTAATTCCGACCTCTGTGGCTTTTGCCGTTTTGCGTTGGTTGTGTTTTACGGAAAAGAGATTAGAGAAGGAGGTTAATAATAATAATAGGAGAGAGAGAAAGAGATAAAAATAAAACTGGAACTAAAATAAACATTTTTTTTAGGATGGAAAATACTAAATAATCCCTCCTAAATATACGAGTTGTTAAGCAGCGGCTGAGTTGGCTGGAATTTTTTTATTGACATTGCCGTATATGTATTTTTAGATGGGAATCCAATTGAATGAATATAGCTTGAGGGTTTTTTCCCCTCCTCTCTCTCTCTCTCTTGTAGACCCACCATGCAGCATTTGCCAAGGAACTGCAGTCGCCGCGGTTCCAAGCCATCATGCGCATTACCAGTGGCAGGAAAAAGAAAGGCCCCGATGTCAAGAGCTTCTCTCATGAGCTCAATTCCAAAGGTGTTCGGCCTTTCCCGATGTGGAAGTCTAGAGCATTGGGACACATGGAAGTAAGGACAAGTATGCTCATATCCTGGTTGTGTTTGTTGTTTCTTACTTTCTTATGTATGCATTTTTGTGTTTTTTTTTCCTTCCTTTTTCTAGTTTCTAATGATCTGTTGAAACCCATATAGGAAATTATGGTTGCAATCAGGGCAAAATTCGACAAGTTGAAGGAAGAGGTAGATTGTGATTTGGGTATATTTGCTGGGGATCTGGTCAGTATATTAGAAAAGATCTCCGAGACTAATCCTGAATGGAGAGTGAGTTTAGAGGACTTGCTGCTCATTGCTCGAAGATGCGCAAAGATGCCCTGTAGTGAATTTTGGGTGAAATGCGAGGGAATCGTTCAGGGTTTAGATGACAGGCGCCAGGAGCTACCAATGGGGATCCTTAAACAAGCACATACCCGCCTTTTGTTCATCCTCACTCGATGCACCAGGCTTGTGCAGTTCCAAAAAGAGAGTTGTTACGAGGAAGAAAACATTCTGGGTCTTCACCAGTTGAGCGATCTTGGAGTTTATCCACAACAAATGTTGGCAATCGCACATCAGCAGGATTATAGTGGGCCATTGGCAACTGACAACAAGTTGTTATTAAGTGATAGCCAGAGAAACAAGTTTCGTGAAGATCAGACTAGTATGGCCGTGACACATGAAATCCCCGACCCAGAATTTAGCACTGCCAAAAGTGTTGATTCAACTGCAAACAGCTTTAGGATGTCGTCCTGGAAAAAGCTTCCGTGTGCTCCTGACAGACAAAAGAAAGCCCATGATGCAGCAGTTGATGATACACCTCTCAAACCCAAATTAGAGTCATCGCTACAAGGTGAAACAGCAGGAATTGGTGGTGATGACAACTCTGAAATTTATGAAACTCCTTCTGTACATCCTCCATCGACAGGAGGAGCAAGAAAAGCTTCTTGGGGGTATTGGGGAGAACATCATCATAACCTTACGTATGACAATTCGATGATATGTAGAATATGCGAGGTCGAGATACCGATCGTTCATGTGGAGGAACACTCACTGATTTGTACAATTGCTGATAGATGTGATCTGAAGGGGTTAACTGTGAATGACCGACTCGAAAGAGTAGCAGAGACTCTTGACAAGATTCTTGAATCATGTACACCAAAGAGCACTCCCAAAAGCCCTGGGAGTGCCCATGACTTGGACGAGGCGGGTGGCTTTTCTCATAACTCTCCAGAAGACATGCTCGATGATGGTATGGCTGATGCAGCTGAGAATGCATTTGTTGTGGATGAACTGAACGTTCTGCCACCAACTTCAACAGAGTCACGTTCCAGTTTAGTAACAGATGCAGAATTAAAAGCATCTTCATCAGGAAGCTTAACGCCACGATCACCATTGTTAACTCCAAGGACTAGCCAGATTGCATTGCTGTTAAGTGGCAGGAGAACAATTTCTGAACTGGAGAATAGTCAACAGGTTTAGCCCAGTTGCGATTAAGTCGTTTATTGTGAATTCATATGAATGTCTATGAATCTTTGAGTATTTTATTTCTCCAACAGATAAGCAAGTTGTTAGAGATCGCGCGTGTTGTTTCAAATATAAACGACATTGATTATAGTTCATTGGAGTCCATGCTTGACCGTCTCGATGACTTGAAGTATGCCATACAGGACAGGAAGGTGGATGCTCTCATTGTAGAGACTTTTGGACGACGTATTGAGAAGTTATTACAGTAAGTTCACCTAATCAAATCATTTCTTTATTAGGACTCCACCAGTAATGGACATGCCATTGTTTGATCCCCCCTCATTTTTCTTGTTTTGGGAACTTTCAGGGAGAAATATGCGCATCTATGTGCACAAATTGATGATGAAAAGCTAGATCATTCCAATCATATGGCTGATGATGAGAGCTCTGTGGAAGAAGATACCATCCGTAGTCTGCGTGCAAGTCCTATGAACACATGTTCTAAGGATCGAACGTCCATAGAAGATTTTGAAATCATAAAACCGATTAGCAGAGGAGCATTCGGACGGGTTTTTCTCGCCAGAAAAAGAGCCACTGGTGACATGTTTGCTATAAAGGTGACATTCCTACACTTACTTTCCTGTAATATGTAAATTGATGTACCATCCATGCATGGGGTGTTGAATAATATGAAAGGCTAATCTTCTTTTCTTGAAGTAACACTCTTTGTTAATCATTAATTGCATACAGGTCCTAAAGAAGGCTGATATGATTCGAAAAAATGCTGTTGAAAGCATATTGGCAGAGCGCAACATCTTGATTTCACTTCGCAATCCTTTTGTGGTAAGCAAAGGCTCTTTCTTACAAGACCACCACCGTTTGAGTTTTGCATTTAAAATGTCATATGAGCTTAGTTCTAATAGTTGTTGCAATCAACGATCAAACAGGTTCGATTTTTCTACTCATTCACGTGCAGGGAAAATCTCTATCTAGTTATGGAGTATCTGAATGGCGGAGATCTCTACTCTCTGTTAAGGAACTTGGGTTGCCTGGATGAAGATATGGCTCGTGTGTACATTGCAGAAGTTGTAAGTGGTTCGATTTGTACACATGCTTGTTCCCTGAGTTTTACATAATGAAAATAGAACTTCTCATCAATAGTCAAATAGTTGGCTTGATTTTTTCCCCAGGTGCTTGCTCTAGAGTATTTGCATTCTTTGAATGTGGTTCACAGAGATTTGAAGCCGGATAACTTGTTGATTGGTCAGGATGGTCATATAAAGGTTAATATATGACCTCTCTTTTGCTGTCAAATTTTTTTCTTCTTCCCCTTGTCATATCTAAATTGAGTTTTCAATTCCTGCTGACACAGTTGACAGATTTTGGGTTGTCCAAGGTTGGTCTTATCGATAGCACCGATGACTTATCTGGTCCACTAAGAAGTCCTGGTTTTCTTAGCAATAACGCACAGTTTGAACAAACAACATCAATGAGAGGAGAGCGACAGAAACATTCAGTTGTTGGTACTCCAGATTATTTGGCCCCAGAGATTCTTCTTGGCATGGGACATGGTTCGTTATCTTTGCGGCTCTTTTTATAGCTTTAAGGTCTCGAAATTTATCATCTCATTTCAAGATATAATCCATGTGTAGGTGCTACTGCAGATTGGTGGTCTGTGGGCATTATTCTTTTTGAGCTGCTTGTAGGCATTCCTCCATTCAATGCCCCATCTCCTCAGGTACTCTTATATGTTAAATAATAAAAGTTTCAAGTCATGAAGTAGCTTTTGCTTGGGGTTCAATTTGTTTCATGGTCCTGACTTTTAGTATTTCCCCCGTCTTTAGTCTATCAACATTTGAGGTTTCGCTTGGCTTTCGATCATGTTTTTATGCAGCAAGTATTCGACAATATAATGAATAGAGATATACCATGGCCTAGGGTACCCGACGAGATGAGTTATGAAGCATATGACTTCATTGACAAGTAAGAAAACATCTCTATTCGCCCTCTCAACATAAACTAATTAGGACCTTGAGCATGTTTCAAAACATTCTCTCTTTCCAACCTACAATGAATTGTCAGTAAAACAAAGCTTGCCTTTGCTCCAAACTCTTCTATGGGAATTTTTTTTCCATCAAGATTCAAGATACTAATAAACATATTGTTGTATGAGTTGTACAGTTTACTGTGTTTGGCTTATACAAAATTGGTAACTGTACAAGTAAAGCAAGCACAGTTTTCCATCGAGGGCTATCTTTCTGGTTGACTCAATATTTTTTTGTTGTTGAAATGGATGATCTGTTTCCATTTGTAGACTGCTTACAGAAAATCCAGTGCAAAGGCTTGGGGCAACGGGCGGCAAAGAGGTATGCGTCTTGAAAGCCATTAATTAATTAGATAAAAATATAATGTACTACTTGGCCACCTGAAAACCCTTTTCTGCACAGGTGAAACATCATGCTTTCTTTAGAGACATAAATTGGGATACGCTTGCAAGGCAAAAGGTTTGGTTCATTTGAGTTTAACGATGAATGTCAAACCAGAAGCAAAAAAAAAAAAAAAAGGTTCAATCGTGCAGAAAACCACTTCAAAATTAAAGCTGCTACATTTTCTCACAGGCTACGTTCATACCAGCTGGAGAAGCACTTGATACGAGTTACTTCATGAGCCGGTATATATGGAATCCTGACGACGATAATGTTCGTGGAGGTAGTGATTTTGATGACCTGACTGACTCATGCAGCACCAGTTCACTCGGAAATACACCAGATGAGGAGGTAACTGAATACCACACTCTTAATTTGTTTTAAGTTGGATCTTTTCCACTATTCATCATAACGTTATGTCCACTGCATATATGTAACACTTTTAGGGAGATGAATGTGGTAGCTTAACCGACTTTGGTGGTCCTACACTTGCTGTGAAGTATTCGTTTAGTAATTTCTCCTTCAAGGTAAGACCTAAGCCAGAAAAAAAAAAAAAGAACTACAATGATCCTGTTTTCTGCTGGTCTTTTCCATATCTAACCGTATCATAAATGGACCTTCTCTTTTCCTTTCTTTTTTTTGTGCTTCAGAACTTGTCTCAGTTGGCTTCGATCAACTATGACATGGTTATCAAGAGTAGCAAAGAAGCAGCCGATGATTCCAAGCAATCTGTTCCCTAATCAGGCCTTCTGTGAAGCCAATCCATTATTGCCAATGGAGGCCTGAAAATCTCAAGAGTAACAAAATAAGCAGCATATCATCCTGCTACTTGAGCATCCAACCATTAAGACTGGAAAGCTCTGAATGTATAGCTCTACAAAACTGTGGACTATGAAAGAGAACCTGGTTTTGAAACCACCGAGAGAAGCGCAAGGATTTTCACTGCTGCTAAATATAACACAAACGAAACTTCACATCTTAACTTTGAAAGAACACAGTTTTGTACATAAAACCATAGATTTTTTTTCTTTAAGAGTTTCCAAAAAATTTTACTCCCAAACTGTTGTTGCTTGTTTGAGGAGTTGAGGATGGCGTGAATGATTTTATAAAAGAAAGAATCACATCCATACCCTCATAATTTAGCTAATTTTGCAATTTTCAGCACTCTGTAGAGAAAGTGATCAGTCATTGCTTTTGATTCAGTGCCAGAGGAGATGATTGTAGGAGAGAATATTATGTCTTTTTGTTTGCTTGAACTAGAGCGAATCTTTGTTTGTCTGTTTCTATTGTAAGTTTAATAATTTTTTTCTAATTACAGGGAAAGCCCTGTGATTAAGACATTAATAAAGCAAAGCTTAGGTTAGCTGTCAACGTACGTTGTTTTAGCTAGCTCTGGATTCCACTTGAGAGAGATTAGATTAGTTTAGACTCTTTGGGTCTTTTTTTGTGGGTGGGGAAGTACAACTCTCATTGCTGGTTCCAAAAATTTCTGCTGAAAGAACACAAAGGGCCAATAAGCTTAACCCTATTCAGGGAAACCATGATTGGGTTCTTGAACACAAAGGGCCAACATTGCAAATTTGTTTTACAGTTCAGTGAGGTTAAGTGCAAAGGCGACATCATTTCTTGCCAAGTGGTCTTTGGTTGCCAAAGAGAGATTTATGTCTTTTCTCATAAACCATATTCTTAGTCTTCACTGTAATGGAATTTATCATTGATTGTCCTCCATGAAAGAAAGCTTCATTTCATTTGTTTCTTTCAAGTCAATTGTTGCATCTTAATATTACTGTGGCCATTCCTGACCTTAGACCTTGTCTGTCTGGCAACTATGTATTGCAAAATAAGATTTCATGTTATCATGGATTTGCAGGTGGGATTATAAGAAGGTATACTGAATATAGTTTTGGTTTGCAAGAACCTTGATGAATGTTGGAAATCTTTATTTTGTTATATATATCTTATAAATCCTAACATTGCACGGACTCCAAATAACTTGATCTTTTTAAATGACAAAAATTGCAATATAGAAAAGAACATACATGTTATAATAACTAAGGTTGTCAACTCGCTAATCGATTAGTCAGTTGACCCGTCTTGATCCAGATCTGTTGAGAAAAATGGGTCGCACACATTTGTGGGTCAACCCGCTGCAAGGTTACCAGGTTGGGGGGCCACACAACGTTGTTTTCCCCTTTGCTTTGCGAAATGCGCCTCTTTTTCAGTTTTCCTCTTCGCCTAACCCTATCTTTGGAATTCTAAGTTGAAAATTTGAATGCTAATGTTATATAGTGTGTAAAATTTTTCACTATATGTTGGATCCAAATATAATATTTAATGTTGGTGTAATGTTATATGTTATTACACATATGTTAGATAGGATTTGATATAATTTATAAATGTAACAACATTATAATGACTTTTTCATATACCTGAGCTAAAACGGACTAAATCGATCAGGTAATTAACCCTCCATCCACTTGCTCAACCGGATAAATCGAGTACACAACCTTGCTAATAATCAATGGACAAAATACTTGCTTACTGAACGACCTTTTGAAGTTAAATAAAGAGTCAAGATACTAACCATATATATATATATATTAAATGAATGGCTCTTATGCTATAGTAAGTACATTTTCTATACTTCCTAACCGTAACCAGTAATCTCCAAAGATCTCTTACGGAGTCATGGTCAGTTAATAGGAGAAAGAGTTGTGTGATGTGTCTTCTTCCGTTTCTGTATCTCCATTGCTTTTTCTGTCTGAAACTTTTACATCATGGATGGGCCCTTGGGCCTTGACATCCCTCCTCTCAGTTCTCTGGGCAGATGAAACGGCACAGTTTTTGCTTTGCCATTCGGAACAGAGATGACATGAGGGAAGTGTCATGCCTGATGTCACAGACGTGCCACATCAGTGACTTACTGCACACACTTCTGTTGTTCACTTGCGAATTGTATCCGAGGTTGTATTGATATAAAGTCAGCGGTATATGATATTTTGTGTCGAAATTATGATTTAACCAAAATTTAATTACTTCATATCACTAAAACTGTATGCTGATTAAATTTTTGTAGGAGTTTCTTAAAACCGAACTATCAGTACGATACGACTTGCAGAAAGTGAAAACGAGAGCTGCCCTGATAGACCCCACACCTGGGTTATTTAATCCACTCTAAAAAAAGAAGCGCACTTTGGCCCTTTCGTCGCACGACGCCTTGCCTTTCCACCCAGAGCCAGATGGTCGAAACCTTTTCTCTCAAATTTGGACACTCCTGAAAGGAAGGATGTGCTCTTCTTAGGTCACGGGTGCAATTAACTATTTCTGGTCATGATACATGCCAGTGGAGGACCCAGAAATTTTACATAGGAGTGTCCACTTTAAAAAAATAAATTAAATACAAATAATTCTAACCACGAGTTATATAAGTATTGTCGGCTTATTAATTAAAGAATATTTCTTCTTGCATCAAGATCAAGGAGCGGAAGAAACAAATATGAGTATGTTAGAATTGCATTATTGTCGGTGCACGATTATAAGATGTATGTATTTACAAGTCCCTTTCAATAATTAACACGATTTCAGAGCTTATTTCTATGATTCGAGATTGTTGGGAAGCCATCCGATATAGGGCCTCTGAATATTAGGGTTGTGCATCGTGAATCTGTTAGTTGATTCAATCATATATTATATGATTATTTGATTATGGTCATGATGATCCATTTTAGTTGAATATAATTATTTACAATATAGTTTAATTAAGACACTTACATAAATTTTACGTAGTGTCTTAATTATTACAGAAGACTTACATAACACTTTTGTTTGATTGATGTATAAGAAATAGCTACCCTTTCATTTTTTTTACAGAGTGTAGGTAGTTTTGATTTCAGATAGATTGGTTTTTCTTTGAGGTGTAAATTTCGGTATCTTTCTTTCCTTGGTAGTCCAAGTGAGCTATTGGGGGAAAAAACTACCCCTACAACCTTCATGAGTTTTAAATAAATTGTATTTTAATAATTTTTATAGAATGGTATTATGTAATCTTTCGTAATGTGGGTAGTGCTCTAATCATAGAATCCAGTTACAAGATATTTGATAACTATGATGTAAGATTAACTTATCTTACAAAAGGTTTAATTTGTGTAATGCAAATTGATGAAATGTTGAATATAGTAGGTAATAATAAATAAATGTTAGTTGATAATAAATGAATTAATTTAAAAAGGTATCACATTTGATTGCAAAATGTAAAAAATGATCAAACTTACAAAACATTTGTTCAATATAGATTGATGAGATCATCAACACTTTAGTTAGTACTTGAGAAAGTTCCATAGAAATTTATGTCATGAAAAACTTACATGATATTTTTGTTTAATTGTTAGATAAGTAATTATTATCTCTTCATAAAGTTTGGCTATCGTCTTAGTCATTAAGACTTATGCTATATGTTTTGTTTATGGTGCATATATATATATATATATATATATATATATATATATATATATATATGGGGAGTTGTACGGTATCCATGGTGAAATCCGGGGCACCGCATACCTTGAGTAAGAAAACGCTATCCAGAACTTGAATTGACTGATTTTTCGGATATGATACTACTCTCTAACCCTTAAAGATCAAAATCTAGGTCTTAATTCTCTAAATCTTATACCCCAAGATCAATTTAATTAGAAACAATAATCGACTGTTATGATTCGACCAAATATAGGCAAAAAAAAAAAAAAATCAAATGCACCATCTTAGGGTTATAGTTTATGATTTAGATGATTAGGACCTAGGGTTCACTCATTCAGGGTTAGGGTATAGTATCGTGCCCAAAAATCCTGCTAATTCGAGGTCTAGATAACGTTTACATACTCAAGGTATGCGATACCCCGAATTTCACCCGGGGTACCATAGAAGGCATATATATATGTTCACCATATTTACATAATTTTTATAGAATGTTGTTATATAAATCTTCTGTAATGTGTGATCTATTAAAAAATCAAGTTATTGAAAGCATAACATTTAGTTAAACTACAATGAAAAATTGGGTAATGTCTATTTTTTTTATTCAAACCTATTAAAATGTTATTAATTAATCAAATCTTTAGTAATGCGTCAAAATATTAGCCATGTTTACGTTATAGTTAATAATTTTATGACTATTTTCTTAGTTAGAATACTAAAATTTTGGAATGTTGTCCTTCATGTGTCTCTTCCAAGTTAGTATTATGTTGTCAAGTCAATATTACTAACAAAATTGCTAACTGAAAGATAACATATGCCTAATTCTTAGTATTTCGATAGATTTAGATAAGAAAAAAAGAATCCGAAAAAGATTTGGCTAATGAATAGTCATTTCCCTGAAAATTTTAACTTACCTTACATAACTTTTGCATAATGCAAATTGTTGAGATAGATGAACATTATAGTCAATTATAAACTTTATGTAATGCAGTTTTAGTACGTAAATATTCCATAATGTAGAATGAAAAAGTACTGAGATAGTTGTCTAAAGGTAAAAAAAAAACTTACGATGAATTTGTCCTAGGAGATGAAAGGCAAAAAATTAAATTAACAAATGACTGGAAAAAAAAGTGCGTATGATAAAACTTAGTGTAGAGGATAAAAATAAGTGAAGAATAAAATAATATCAAGATAGTTGTCTCAAGCTAAATAATATTGTGGTGAAATTGGGTGTGGACGATTGAAAACATAAACGATGGAAAGTATAAGCGATGAAAGCGAAATTGAGACAAATTTTTTTTCTTCTTTCCTCTCTTTAACAATTCTTGGTGATTTTGTTTTATCAATGAATATTCATGTTAAAATTTATGGATACTATTGTCAAGCACGTTTAATTCTTTCAACGCATAATCAAAATCGGGGAAAAATAACCATATCAATAGCTAAATTTTTAAGGAACATAGATGTACTATACTACACTCTTCTGCAGCCACTCTGGCCAATCAAAGCTCTTGGTATTGATTAGTTGACATTTCTCATGATGTGTTTTTTTAGCTAAGTCTCGTTTCATGATTCGATTAGGATTTGCTTGAATGAGAGTACAAGCTAATCAAGTATGGCATTAGATAAGAGATCGAACCAAAAAAAAGCTAAAGAGCTCTTTGATATGTTTACAATGTTTGTTTGTACGTTAAAATCAGCTCTTCGTTTTGGAATTATTATATATATTCAAACTTTGGCAGTTGGAGTGTCATATTTCTTTAATTCTTTTACCCATTTGTCATCATCAGTCAGAATATTGTAGTGAAAATTTGTTTGATTATTCTTGATCAAGTTTGAATTGCGTATGGATTTTGATTGAACTAGCCAGGCACTGAAGTCAATGGCTGGAAAAATAAATTATTCTTCTAAGTCCAAAATACTCGGAAGATAACAAGCTAAATACCCATATGTTTTATGGGTAATTGTCCACTCGAGACACCCAGATAATCAATTAAATACTATTTGTTTAGTGAATAGTTATCAATTAGTGTTATCGAGGAATAAAAAATATAAAATTAAAGATACACCTTAAATTTATAAAAAAATAGAATCAAACCCTTACATCAATATGAATTATGAAACAACTAGTGAGATCTTTCATTCACTAAATGTGTTTTATCCAGTGTTATTAAAGCCGAGCCGAGCCGCTCAGCCCGACCTGTAAAACCGCCACCAGGTCACAAAACCGACTCGGAACAGTCTAAAAGTTTTTCCGGTTTTATGTAGCGGTTGACGAGCGGCCGAGGCGGTGAGTCGATCGAGCCGCTCGTCCGGTTTTTGCCATTCAATCGTTAAATTTAATTAAAAAATTGCAGAAAATTAAAAATTGAAATAAACAAAAAACGTCGAGCTCTCAAACTAAATCCTTATTTTCATTTCACAATTTCGAAGGAAAGAGACGAGCTATGATTAAGAAATGTCCACTATTTATACCGATAACGTTTATTAGGTACCGGTTCTCTAACGGGTTTTAAACGGTCTAATGCCGGTTGGACCACTAAAGTGCGAGCCGTTCGTATTACCGGTTCATGCTCCGGTTCGGTTCTGACAACATTAGTTTTATCCTATTGTTCTAACGACCAACAAAATTCATGCGATCAATAATCAAAGATCAAACAGAGATATCGAGTAAGCAACAACCAGATCACTCATCCGTGATGCAACTTCCTTTCAACATGTTTATTATCACGCCAATGAAAGTGATTATCCATGTCTAATCCCAAGAGCCTTCAAACATCTATACATCGAACATAAGACAAGGTTTTAACGAAGAAGAAGAACAACAAAAAGATTTTCTTCACAGTTTGGACTACCATGACAGGCCACCAACTCTCTCACACTCACTCTCTCGTTTGCTTATAACTTATTTCCCAAGGCAGAATCCGATGGGGAAAATGTTCTGAAAGTAATTAATTACGTAGTGATCAAGGTAAATTAACTATATACACAGCCGTAATCATCAACTGATCTCACCCAGCTCCGTCAAGCTCAAGTCCATCTCACTGAAGCTGAACCCATTCAGAAAACCCAGCTCGTCTCCGATCGAATCCTTCATCTTGAACTCCATACCCGCCGGCCAGCCCCAATCGGGTTCCGGCTCCAACATTACCCGATCCGAATAACCCTCTCCCCTGCACCCAGAACCCACAGCCGCCGTCACCGCCGTCGTCAGGCAGGAATTCCAGGTCGATTCTATATGGTTGGGGAATTCCACCTCATCCAACGGGGCCGATGACCAACCCAGCAACTGCTCGCTCGTTTGGTTGGGATCCAAGGGCCGAGATTCGTCGTCGTCGATCGAACCGTTCTCGCTGCTACAGTGACTCCCTTTCGGCAGCAGAGCACTATTTTCAGACTCTGTTACGCCGCTGGATTGCTTCTCCTGATCATCGAGCGGACGGTGGGTGATGGGATCGATCCCCATCTTGATCAGCTTCTTCTTGATGTGGGTGTTCCAGTGGTTCTTGATCTCGTTGTCTGTCCTTCCGGGCAATTCCGCAGCAATTTTCGACCATCTATCGGAAAAAAAAACAGAGTATTATCGGAAACAGAGTAGTAATTGCAGCAATTAAGGGCATGAAGAAGAGAAAGAAGAGCTGAATAACAGTTAGTGTGTGTACCTGTTGCCGAGGCGGGAGTGGAGCTGAATGACGAGCTGTTCCTCGGCGTCGTTGAGGAGGCCGCGCTTGAGGTCCGGGCGGAGGTAGTTTGTCCACCGGAGGCGGCAGCTCTTCCCGCAGCGGCGGAGGCCGGCGAGCTTGGGGACGGCGCGCCAGCAGCATTGGCCCTGGGTGACGATGAAGTTGACCAGCTTCCTGTCTTCGTCGGCGGTCCATGGCCCCTTCTTTACCCCGAGCTTGTCGCAACACGGCTGCCTTCCCATCCGATCATACAAACTCTGTCACAAATTGCTCGCCGGAAACAGGGGGGTTTTCTTCTGGGCAGGGGATTTGTGGAAAAGTATATTTTTTGGGGAAGGTATTATGAGCGATGATGGAAATGCAAGCAAGAAAAGGGTTTGTGGAGAAAAGTAATCAAAAGAAACAAAATCAGTGCACAAAATGGCCACCAAAAAGCTCCCACTCAACCACCTTTATATACTAGTTTAGATTTTAGAGTAGGCTTTTAGAGAGGGAGGGAGTGTCATTGATTTCCTTTTACTTGAGGGTGAATCATCAAACTGGTACCATTTTTCTTTTATTATTTTTTTAATGACGGCGTTAGGATACACCATTTGTCTGAGATTATCTGGTTCCACAAATATACGAAAAATTCGTGGGAGCGAGTGATTCAAGTTCAGATTTTATTAATTTTCGTCAGTGAATTTTTGTCAGACTAAAACAAAAGGCACACTTCTGACATTTTATGCTATTGCACTTGTATGACATGACACCTATATGTGCTTAGATTTGGGAAGACTAGCTAATATCGTTTCGTTGTCGATTTGTAAGGTGATCCTGTTAAAGAGAAAACAACTGAACATACAGTTTGATGCAAAAGCTCCATAAGGAATAAAGTTGAGAATTTGAGTTCGATTTTGTTATTAAATAACACGAGAAAGTTCAATTTGATCGATTGTGATTAGATATCAGAAGCAACTCGCCATTCTCTGTCGAACAATTACCCACCATAAACACCAATTCCATGTAATCAAGACTGCCATCATGTACTTAAGAATCTGCATTTTTTTCACCGTAGACAAATGTACTTTGATCCTAGTTCCTTCTTTCTTCCAAAACAAGTAAAAACGTGATGGGTGTATAAACTCCAACATGATGTCTAACCAAAGATCGAAGTTGAGGCTAATTACTCAAAGTCATTAGAAACTCATTTCTATGTGGTTAAGTACTGACTAATCCTAATCAAATTTGTTTGGTGGTGAGGATTGGGGAGAAGCTCTTTGTTTATGGCAAACACAGCCACTTATGCCAAGTTTGAAGGGGTCGATCTTTCACAAGCAAAATTCCGGTCGAGTTGTTAACCCATCTACCTCAAATTTCTCTCTGGTAAATTGCTTTGAAGTTAAGGGAATTGTCTTTCACATTACTAACACCATAAAAAAAGAGCATTAGTTTATGACCAACATTACAAGTTATAATAAGCCAATGAGGAATTGCATGTCGGTTACCTAGTCTCAAATCCTATATTGTGAGGAATTCTTATGGTTACGGTTAGATTGATGATTATATGACATTTGGAAGGAAGTTTTTATTTATAATCGACCATTATTTGTCGATTGACATGTATCAAAGATTATACTCGCGATTTTTCGAATAATTGGAAGATATCTACGTTTAAACAGTGCAGATGAGGGTTGTAGCCAAACGGTCTATTGTCCGTGTGGCGACCTAAAGGTCCTAGATTTGATCATCCGGGTGGCGCTATATCCGCGAGATCCTTATTGACCAGGTTCCTCTAGTAGCATCTCGGGTGAGATAAGTGGCTTAACCGTACTGATAGACCATAAATACTGCCTTCAAAATTTTTAGATTTGTAGGATGAAAACATACGTTGGGCTCGTTTGGATGGAGTATTTGTATGAGTTATTCGTGAGTTATGTGAGTTCAAATGACTCACAATGAGTTATTTGGACACAAATAACTCGTTTGGCAGCGTTTTACTGAAATGAGTTATTTGGACAGTGAGTTATTTACAAATTACTCAAAACGAGTTATTAGAAATAATTCATACCTATGTGTTATTTCGAAATAACTCGTTTTACCACTATGCTTTTACCAAATACTTCGTTTGCATGGTTCAACTAAACGAGATACTTTATTTCAATTACCACTAAAATAATATTGAAATACCACATGAACAATAAATGAGTTATATATTTGACTCTACAATTACCACATTGACAATTAACTCATCCAAATGAACCCCATATAGTTAATGGTTATTTGTCCGCTAACAATGATATAATAGCAGTATCATAGAGATCTTCTCGTCAAATTTGTTCGGAAGTCGATAATTACGTTATGACGATTCATCTAGGTTGCGAGTTCAGTATTGTCGTTTGTCTATAAGCGTTGTATTCATAGTAGTATCGTAGACATCTTCTCATCAAATTTGTTCGGAAGTCGATAATCACACTATACTGACTCATCTACGTTGCGATTTTATATAGTATTGTCATTTGTCTAGTTCAGTACTTCTCCATATCAGTACGAGAAGTTAACGTGGAAGTGGAAAGGGAAACCTACAAGCTGTGTACAAGTAACTGCTTTCTCAATCGACTAACTTGTCACTCTCAAAGACTAATTACTAGCCATAATCAGAGGGTACAGAACTTACTTGTCAATTCTTCATTTCTTTGACACTACCAAGAAGAAAGCCAAGAGATTGGTGGCTTAACTATGAAAGTGGTACGTGCATGGTTTATAGTAATATCCTTGTGTGTGAAAGACGAAATCAATTCAATTAAGTAAACGGAACATACACGAAAGGGGGAAAGAACTTGATTTCTAAACCATGATTAGCTGTAAACCCTAATTACATTTTACATTGTGCTTATATTCATCCACAAGCAAGTGCAAAAGCATCTTCTAATCTTTGCATTTATAACCTGTTCTAATTGGAGGCAGGTTTAAGATGGCAGATCGGCAATGGCCTTTCGGCCTCTCTTATCCACTATAATTGGATTCCTGGGCTTCAGCTGGACCCCCCTTGCTATAATCACCGGGTCCTGCCAGATGGGGGATCCCTTGATGGAGGAGGTTATTTGCCAAGGGGAAGGGCGTTGGGTGGAGGAGAAGCTTAGTCATTGGTTTGACCCATCTATCTGTCGAGCCATTAAGGTTATCCCACTTCCGAGGATGAATGTGGATGATAAACTGATCTGGCATAACACTCCTGATGGGGTGTTCTCGGTTAAGACGACCTATCATCTGGTAGTTGAGCTAGACAGGAGGAGGGGTGGGTGGCGGGCCTCGGTTAGTTAGATGGATAGGCAAAGCTGGATCCGGCTGTGGGAAGTTAAGATTCCTCGTAAGCTGAAAGTCTTTGTCTGGCAAATTCTTCATCGGGCTCTGCCAACCACCGAGGCTCTCATTGAAAAGAAGGTTCATGTGTTGCTTCGGTGTCCGATAAGCTGGGATGCTCTCGAGACTATGGAGCACATGTTTCTTTACTGCCCGGTTGCGCGGGCTCTCTGGGACTACTCGGGGTTGAATTATTTAGGGGAGGGTTTGCCTCGGCACACGTTTCCGTTGTTTCTTAAGCGGCTGTGGTTGCCATCCTTTCGCGGATCTGGCGATCGCGAAACTGGGTTGTCTTTGAAGGCAAACAGTTTTGGATTCCGGCTTTAATGTGCCAATTTCACCATCAGTACGAGGAATGAGTGGGTCTGCTGGTTGACCAACCGCCAAGGATATCCTGCCCGGTGGTTCAACCAGGGACCCAAGTGGATGATTCTCATTTGGTTTGCATGTGGGATGGGGCCACTAGGAGGGGGTCACACTCGGCTGGTGGGATGGTTCTTTTTTATCCGGGATGGACGCTCCTTCGGGCTAAAGGTGTGCAATTTACGCAAATTGATGAGCCACTGGTTGTGGAGTTGCTTGTGCTTCGGGAGGCTATCATTTGGTGTTTAGAGTGTGGCTTGTCCGAAGTTCGGTTCGAGGGTGATGCGAAGGTCATTATTGACAAGATTAATCAAGCCGACACGAGCGATAGTCATTTGGAGGCAGTCCTGAAAGAGATTTGTCAGTATTTTGGTGCCCATCCGGGGTTTAGTGTGCGGTTTGTAGGTCGGGAGAATAATAGGGTAGCTCATTCGGTAGCTAGAAAAGCCCTCTCTTTGTACCCGACTGTTAATCGGTTTTTTGATTTCAGGGCCTGGCTGCTATCCAAGATGTAACTACCTTTTTAATTGGATTAATATATGATATATTTTGAAAAAAAAATTTAATCTAATAATTAGTAAAGAAAAACTTATGTCGTCCTTATTACAAAATCATAATTATGTCATTTCTTGGTACTGGATGCTGGGCTTAAAGCCTGATACAATAACTATGGTATCTCCCTGCCTAGGTCCAAGGTTCGGGAGGAGTTACGGTGCTAATTGTACAATAGTTAGCACCGTCCTAACCAAGGGAAAAACTACTACTAGTTTGAATTAGTAGTGATTTAGCTTAGATTCCCTCAAAAAAAAAAAAGTAGTGATTTAGCTTAGATGTTGTATTGATGTTATAATAATCCATAGTAATTTCGTTATTTTTAGTAGCGTTTTTTACTAGTTATCACGGTGCTAACTCCTATAATGGTTAGCACCTAATCCCATCCCAAGGTTTGTCTACTATAACCCGTCATCGGACGGTTTCTCTCAGGCTTCTCAATTCCTCTCTCGAGCCCATATTGCACGGACGGTCTCGATCGCGAGCACGTTGCGGCCGCTGGAAATGCGCGGGTCACCTGTTCGACGTAATTCCTGAGCGAGAAATAAGCATCCAAGAACCCGGCGGGTCGGCGAAAAAAGAGAGCAATTCAGGATCTGCAACACGATCGCGGGGCTAGCAATCGATATGTGGAAGCGGGTCTCTACGCTTTCTCCATTTCTCTTTTCCTCCAAATCGACCTCGCTCGCCCGGGTACCTCTCCTCTCCACCTGCTTTCTTGCCAGTCACCCTGTTTGTCTTGAGCAATTCTTTCTGTTGTCACTTGTCATGTTCCTTCTTCCCTTCATTCTCCTCCATTAATTTGAAATTGTAGGCAGGTCATGGATGGAACGCATGCGGATCACCTGCTATGGACTTGCCATTTTCGGTATTAATCCTTTCTTCTTGCTCTGCTTCTCGATTTCATTAGCTGAAACCACTAGTGGAATTTGAATCGGGCATTCTTGTTTTCCTCCGAACCCTCGTGGGCATTTTGCTGATCGGCTCAATAGCTTTGTTTCTGCTTGATTTTGTGAAACTTGCGTTTGTGTACTTCCCTAATTGGATGCCATTTGCCGGCAGGTAAACTATGCAAGCTCCCTCAGAGATAAAACCCCTTTCATCACTTTCGTCTTGGGTAATTTCCACGTCCATTTCTCTTTCCTTTCTTTTCTAATGCTGGCGATATGCTGCATTTGTCGTTCTAATGATAGCTGTTTATCGGAACTTTTGCTCGAATTGGAATGGTGTTATAGACGAATCATATGTATGCTGAGGAGGTTTTGCCACAAAAAGTACACTTCATAGCACTGGATACTTCTTTTTTCCCCATGAAAAGCTATATTTTTGCTGCTTGGATTGCTTTGCTTGATGATAGGGCGTTTCCCACTTGATTGCAAGGTGGCCCCGGTAGTGGCAAAGGTACTCAATGTGAAAAGATTGCCGAGACATTTGGGTTCACCCACCTCAGTGCTGGAGATTTGTTAAGGAAGGAAATGAATTCCAACAGTGAAGAACGGTAATACTGCCATTTTTCGAGTTCCAGTGTTTAGAAACTAGGGATTCTCGAATTCTTGTCTCTGTTCTGATAATTGGTGAATCATGTTTTCAGAACTACCATCCTCAACATAATCCAAGATGGCAAGATTGTCCCTTCAGCTGTGACTGTCAAACTGATTATGAAAGCCATGGAATCTAGTGATAGCGATAAGTTCTTGATTGATGGGTTCCCACGTACTGAGGAGAACAGAATTGCATTTGAACAAATTGTAAGTTCCTTCTATCTCAACTCTTTATGGGAAATGAACGATTGCGAGGGGAATGACTCTGAGGTTTAATTGAATGCTAGTAACAACTGCAAATTAACAATGTTTTTTTTACCTGGTACCCATGCAGATTGGGCTAGAACCAAAAGCCGTGCTGTTTTTCGATTGTCCAGAAGAAGAGATGGTGCAAAGAGTGTTAAACCGTAACCAGGTGCGTGCTTGTAGACACTAGCTCAATATCCAATACTATCCAGTTCATGCTGGAGAAAGCCATTAGTGTAAAAAAACCCCATTTTCTCAATTGCAGGGGCGAGTTGATGACAACATAGATACAGTCAAGAAGCGTCTTAAAGTGTTCGAAACATTGAGTCTTCCTGTTATTGACTACTACTCCAAGAAAGGGAAACTGCACAAGGTATATTACTTGTACTTCGTACACTACTTACTCTGAGATGCTTTAAGTTGAGCCACAGTTTCTTAATGTTTTAGATGTGGTTCACATCACATAGATAAACGCCGTGGGAGATGCAGATGAGATTTTTGAACAAGTTCGTGCTGTTTTTGACGCGCCAGAGGTAGTCTCTGTTCTTCTGTTGCACTCCTTCAGCTGTTAGTATCAGATTTTTTGAGTTGTTTTTTCTTGTTCTATGATCTGTGCAGGTGACTATTTGATTGTTTACCCTTATTGTTGACTGGTTCATCTTTTGGGGGGCTGGTGAATGATGATATCTACCGAAGGCAAGTGGATAAACCCAAACCACACAATCTAGTGGGCAATCCCAAGGATTGGCGAGGGACAAAATTTGAAGGCTGGCTTGGCTGATGGTATCCTACATATTTCTAGACTATGTACAGAAACAAGAGCCAGTGCCCTTTCTTTACAACTCTCTCGCTTGCCTTTTCGTCCCCCGTGTGTATAACAACGTCGCACGAGGTGCTAACACTTGAACCAAATGGTTCCACAATAGAACCCCAAATTGTTCGGTTGGGGCATTTTCTCGAACACTTTCAGCTCATAATGGTGAAAACAAGATTATAGTTTGGTTCTTTCCTGCTGTCCGATTAGAGAGAAAGTCTTTCTGTTTTCCTTTCATGCTCTGCCTACTTCGAGGAAGTCGACGGAGATGGTGGTGCTCGTTCAACCGACGCCGAATCTCTCCCCGCCGTCCATGGTCCTTCACTATGCGGCAAGCACAAGGAAGAGCAGGAAATTGAAGCTTACTCGGAAACTAGAGAAGCAATACCAGCAAGGCAACAGCGGTATGGCACTCAGCTTCCCGAAATCATCGCCGACTCCAGTCCTCATCGGACGCAATCCGTTTCCCCGGACTCCCCTTGAAGCTTTGGATAAAGTTGTCGACGAAATCGAAACCTCTGTCCAAAAGGGGATTAATATGGACGCGGAAACCTTCGCTTCGATTTTAGAGACGTGTTACCGGCTCGATTCAATCGAACATGGGATCAGGATTCATCGACTTCTACCCTCGGCCCTTCTGCACAAGAACTTCGGAGTCGCCGCCAAATTGTTGCGGCTGTATGCCGCGAGTGGGTATTTGGATGAGGCGCACCAGGTGTTCGATCAAATGTCTAGGAGAAAAGACTCTGCTTTTACCTGGAACTCGCTGATTGCTGGGTATGCGGAATTGGGTCAGTATGAAGATGCCATGGCGCTCTACTTTCAGATGGAGGAAGATGGCGTGAAACCGGACAGATTCACTTTCCCCCGTGTCTTGAAAGCTTGCGCCGGAATCGGTGCGATTCAAGTTGGGCAGGCAGTGCACAGAGACCTGGTTCGGTGGGGATTCGGCGATGACGGGTTCGTTCTGAATGCACTGATCGATATGTACGCGAAGTGCGGCGACATTGAGAAAGCTCGGAGCATATTCGACAAGATTGGTCACAAGGATTCCATTTCATGGAACTCCATGCTCACTGCCTACATTCGTCACGGCTTAATAGCAGAGGCATTGCGCATTTTCAGCAGGATGATTCACGAAGGCGTTGATCTCGACTCGGTCACCGTATCAACAATCCTCGCCAACGCAGCTCCTTTACATCTCAAACATGAAATCCATGGATGGACCACCAAGCGAGGAATGCAATGGGAACTATCCATCGTCAATTCCTTGATCGTCGTCTATGCAAACAGCGGTTATCTAACCGATGCACGCTGGCTGTTCGACAATATGCCCGAGAGAGATCTCGTATCGTGGAACTCCATCATCTCAGCTCACAGCAAGCACCCTGAATCGCTGGCCTACTTCAGAGAGATGGAGATGGATAACGTCATGCCGGACAAGGTTACATTCGTGGCGACGCTATCGGCCTGTGCTCATATGGGTCTGGTGGAGGAAGGGGAGAGGCTGTTTTCTCTAATGGTGGAGAAGTATGCGATGAAACCCATCATGGAGCATTACGCCTGTATGGTGAACCTCTACGGCAGGGCTGGATTGATCGATACAGCATACGACTTCGTCATAGAGACGATGGAGCTGGAAGCTGGACCGACTGTGTGGGGGGCTCTGTTGCATGCTTGTTGTGTGCACAGGAATTTGGAGGTCGGAGAGGTTGCCGCTCAGTGCCTGTTCGAGCTGGAACCTGATAACGAGCACAACTTCGAACTTATGGCGAAGATCTACAGCGATGGTGGTCGGGTGGAGGATGCGGAGAGAGTGAGACGAATGATGGTGGATAGAGGGCTGTAAAAATGCCCGAGTGTGTATATGGCAAGTTAGGCTTATGTTTTACTGTGGCAATTTCTTCACAGCAAATCCACTTCTGCTTCGTCCGTCCCACAAGAATTCTAGTTCCATTTTGAGGTAAAAAAGAATGCACAGTTTATTGCTTGGTAGTTGATAGTGTGATCATACACTTGGATACATACATCAAAGTTGGGAACAGAGAATTGATGGCTGCTGGTTTGACAAACTCAAAGTGATGAACCCCGACACTTCCTAGCTCATTTCTGACAAGTGGATAAGAAGGGTCTGGTTGGCCATAATTTCCGGGCAACTTTGGTGATAGTTGGTGCTAGATGATGGGTCATCGACTCATGGGTCATACTTTGGTACTGGCTGTTAGGTGTGGCTCTGCTCTGTTCTTTGGTTGGGCCTTTCACTGCGTGGAATTCAATGGCAGAGGGTCCAAATCCAAACCTAATCTAGTGGATGGGTATGTAAAGAAACAAAATTCGGTTTAAGGTAAATTCACGTTGAACCTTGAGATGGCGAATTCAAATCCTACATAACGACTTAGGAATATAGGGTACAAAATGATTTTGTTTTGTATTTCAAAGCGATATAATCTGCATGCTACTAGAATTTTATCAATGTCGAAATTTACCTTATTGATAGGATTGCATCGGGTTCTAGTAGGGATGGCAATTCATACCCGTCTTGTTGGATATTTCCCAATTCGACCGGTACTAGAACAGAGTGAATCTTGATATGACCCATGACTAAACCAGAGCGGATATGGATATCTTTGTTCCCTTGCTAGCATGGTTGTTAACCTGCGGGTGAACCCAGATTGGACCGAACTTGGAGACAAAAATAGGTGAAAATTATTCAGTGGAGTTTTAACCCGGATAAAGTCAAACCCAGTTAAACCTGGTCAAATACAGAAAAACCGGACGGTTTGACCCACTGAACTCTTCCAAGTCCTTCCCCCGCTGAGCACTATCTTTCGAGTTTCCTTCTTTGGGACTTGTAGAGTGGGTGAGTATTAACTATTAATTCAAATTATGCAGGTTGGTGGTGTAGGAGTGGCTATACGTTACGGTTCAGTCCGGTTAAATTGGCTCAAATTGATCTATTTTCGATCCAGTTTTTTTTTGAAAATATAAGGATCAAAGATTGGATTGGATACAATTTGGTCTTGATCCTGTCCGGTCCCAATTCGGGCTTGATTTTAGATTGAACTTGTGGAGATTTGAGTGGCCTGAGGCCTCAAAGGGTGAAGAGTTGGTTAAGTTTTGGGTGTTGGGCTCTCTTATCCGGTCTTTATCCGATTTTCGGTCCGGTCCCAAATGATTTTTTTCCTCAAATCTAAGCTCGAAGATTAGATTAGATTGTTTACTATCCGATCCGGTCTCGGTTCGGGTTTTACGGTCAGGTTTTAGAAACGGAACTAGGAATTCATGATGGGTGAGGAAAAACATACAAGCAATTGATTACTTTAGTTTTTAAATTCGAATCGGATACTTTTAATAGGAAAATTTATGTTTAATGTTTGAATATTAATGTTATCTGTTGCCTTTAAATATGTTCAATTTTTATTATAAGATTTAGTACAAAATTATTATTGTGGTGTAATGTTGCAGGTAGTATCATATTTTAGATGACACCTGATATAATATATATTATGTTCCATTATATACTATTTAATGATTTTTTTCCCATATATTAGGGCTAAATCGGGCTAAATTAGGCTAAACTGATCTTACCATTAAGTTATTAACCCTTCACCCACTAGCACAACCGGGTCAGTGGATCAAACGGGGTTGACAACCTTGTCGCCAGACATGCTGTTAGAACCCTGGATATCTAGGGCTCCAAAATGGAATAGATAATTAGAATTGGGGATAGCTTTGGGGGAGAAGAATTGGAGGATGGGAAGAATAAAGAAGCAGCGGGTGTGGAAGATAGTTGAGCCGTAGCTCTAGGGAGAGAAGGAGAGAGTTAGGTTTAGGGTTTTTGATAATTTTTTGCTTAATGATAAATAATCTCGGCTTACATAATATAAACCTGAAATAATTACCCTTTTGCTACCCCGAATAGGCCAATAATGCCTAAAACCCCCAAAAGAACACCCACAACCCCAAACTTAATTAAAACGACAAATAGGGCCAAAATTCTTAATTAGCCAAATCTCTAATAAACTCCCAAAATCCCTTAATGTTTCTAACATTCCTCCCTCCTTAAGACCAATCTTGACCTCAAGATCGTGGCGCATCGTCCTGCTCCGACTTTTTCTCCTCAACGGCCCACTCCTCAGCCTCGTCCTCCCAGCGCTCAACCAACATCATCATATCCGACTTCACACATTAATGACCGAAGGTAATCCTCTCATTGCAGTTGAAGCATTCCCCTCTCGCCTCTTCTGGTTGATTTCTGCCGGGGATAGCTTGACGAAACCCTTCGTATTAGCTCGCGATCCTGGCCAAACCGTCCCTGGTGTTGCCGCCACCGGAGTTGTCGCCCCGCCAACTCTTCCGCCACCACTACTGTCGGAAACTCCTTCACTTCCTCCACCACCTGGATTCTGTTAGCGCCCAACGGTATTCCTCAAGCCGGCCAATTCTTCTTCTTCTTCTAGTACTGCAAGGCGAAAAGCAGATCTCAAAGAATCCAGTTCAAATACCTTCACCACAGCTACGATCTCTGGCCGCAACCCTGCCATGCACAACCTTGGTAGAGTCTTTTCCGATACTCATTTTCATGTGTTCTCCAATTTGAGGAACTCTGTGTAATTCTCCACTTACCCGGTCTGTCGCAGTTTAGCCAATTGCTCGAAAGCTCATCCTTCCGATTTCCCGAACTGGTACCTGAGCTCCTCCTAGAACATCAGCCATGTGATCAAGGTGTGTGCGGCAGCATAAGACCGCTGAAGCCACTCCCACCATTGCAGGGTATCACTCTCCAAGTAGAAAGACGCAAATGCACTTCCCCTCCTCCTTGGTGGGATGATTCTTGAACCACCTGTCTGCAGCACACAACCACAAGCCCACATCCTCCAGGCCATTGAATTTAGGAAATTCAATGATCGGCGGTTTGGCTGACTCGTTCTAACTACAACATCCTAATCGACGGCCAAGTATAACCGCCGACCGGGTGTAGCATAGGGCAAGCAAGCAATAAGAATTTATCGTACCACGGGGATCTACGCTTACCCTACTTCAGGTTTAGGGTTCGTTATCTAGCCAACCTAGGATAGTGATTGATAAAATTAAACTAACTAACTTGACTAACCACTAACCTAGCTATTTACAAGGTGGGGAGCTCTCTTGGGTTGAATCGTCCTAGGTCCGTTTTTTGGATCGATGTTGGGTATCCTTCTAGCTCGATTGACTCAACTACACTACCATTTGGAGATGGACTCCCTCGGGAATGACCCAGAATGGTGAATCGATGGATGGGTAGTGCTCTATTCAACCTAGGGTTTCGTATAATGCTAGGAGACCGATCGAATTAACTCCCTCGGGGACTACCCGGACAATATACGATAGGAGTGACTCGAAGATGCCAAAAGGGGGCACTAAAGGGATTATCTCCCTCCTAGGTCAATATGTCAATACATAAAAATGGAAACCAAACTCATGCCATTCATGAAAACATCCATCAATTAAGTAAAATCATCAATCAATCATGGAGTTTGTCACATACATCAACATTAAACCCAAATCTAGACCTAGGATTCTTAAACCCAAGAGAAGAGGGTGAGTTTCTAGAGAGAGATGAGAGTTTACAAAGAAACCTCAAAATCTTCATATTCTTCTTCTAGGCTTGATTCCTAGCTTCCAAACTTGATCAATGTCATCAATTAAGCTCCAAGATCACTCTCTTTCTCTCTCTCACTAGAACTCCCCTTTGGTGTTTTGGGTTGAAACCCTAGAGAAAGAAAGTGTTCCTCCCCCCAAAAACCAGCTCTCCCTTCTTCTTCCTTTTGCTGCTGTTTTTATACCCAGGTCGAGCCCAGTTCACGGCCTCTGTTCTATTGCCACTATTCTGGAACGAGGCAGGGCGGGTCGCAGAGTGGGTGGCGAGGTACGAGGCAGAGCGGGTGGCAAGGTACGGGGCAGGGCGGGTCGCAGAGTTAAGCGTCAGGGTGGGGCGCGAATTTAGTGGTTACCATCCCTATTCTATTGCCACTATTCTGGAACCAAATACCAACTACTATCTTTAATTCCCGTGCGATATTTTACAAATCTCGAACTAACCCAAGTAATAAATGGACGGCTCATTATGAACTGAATTTGATCACACCACATGACAAGGATTGGAGACTAATAGCCTCACAGACACAGTTATACGCTATTCAGCATATCTATAGTAAATGCATTTATAAATTTGTCTCACTCTACACAATAAATAAAAGTCAAATGAGAAAACTTGAAGCCACATTTCAAATTTCCTATATCCAGAATGAAAGTAGTAAGGACATTTTGGTCTTCACAATTACTTTTTTTTTATTCATTACAAAGACACTCACTAGGATTCGAACCATTTCAAATTCCTTGCTCCAGGAGCGTTTGTAGGAAGGGTAGAGTAGGGAGTGTCAATTTTTTTTCTTTTTCCTCTGAGGAACGGGCCAACTTACCGTACACATGCGGATTTAAACGGGTCCAGGAGTGTCAATTTTTTTCTTTAAGTCCTTTTATTTCTCCGTGATGGTAAAACATATATGAAAAGGCAAAAACAATACTCCTTTTTATTGCTAAAAAGAAAAAAAATTTAACAATAAACTAATGCATGGATTCTAATGTGATAACCGCTAATCATATAATAAAAGAGTTGAATGGGCCTGACCTACACGACATTTGCCCATCAAGTAAAACAAATGAACATCATGGGTTTGTCATTCTAAAACAAGCTATTTTCTCTAGCATAATATATATTATGCTATTATTTTATATCTTAGTGCCTAAAATATAATGTATTTTAAAGTTATTCAATGGTTCAACCTCGACCAACCCAATTAGTCCAATTTTTATAATTTCAAATATATATTATGTAATTATTTGATATAATAATGATTAAATTATAGTGTATATTATAGGGAATCGTTTGGTATTTGTTAGTAAAAAACTAAACAGAAAGATCTATTTGGTTATTTTTAACATTAAAACGATCCTAAACATTTTCAGTTTCCTTTCGAAATTCTATAGTTTTATTCCCGAATCAGTGATGTGCAAATGGCGAATTGCATTCATCTCTTTTCTTTCATTATTTTTTATTTTCAAATAGAAATTTTAAAAGTAAAGAATAATTAGAGTTTGGCATGAGTCGGTCAAACAGGCTGAATTTCAAGTTTTGGCCCGTTTTGATCAAGTCTAATTTATAATCACATGGTTCCCTGATACCCGATAAAAATCTCAATCCAAACCAGTTTGGCAGGTGAGTCCGTGTTTACCACCATTTTCTAGGGATACAGGAACGGTGGTTCCTATCCCAAATCGTGTTGTTCATTCTTGATTTCTTTAGATTTTATCATGGCTTGACAAAAAACCAGAAAGCACAATGATGACAAGATGAAAGTTTTATAAAGCAAATTAATCA